ATCTCAGCCTCCCATATAGGTGGGATGACAGGCATGCACTATTGTGCCCAGCTGTTGGTTGAGAAGAGGGTCTCATGATCCTACCCCCTCGCCCCCGCCCCAATCCCTGAAACTGGCCTCAAACTAGGCTCTTTCCTATCTCATCCTCTTGAGTGTCTAGTATTGTAAGTGTGAGCGACCATGCCCAGTTTAGGGACACAGTTTTCAATCTTGAGTGTTATAAGCACAAAATTATATTCTTAGCCTGTTTTAATAATCAGAGAAAGTATTTGTGCAGTTATGAACTTCATTATAACAGTTAAATTATAATCTTTATAATCCATGTGAGGACTGGTAGCTCTGTGTGAAGATACATTTTCTTGTCATAGAAAACATTGCTAATGTTTTGGACTAATAGTGTTATGATAATATTTGTCATTTATAAAGCATTTAACAAATTTCCCAGTGATTCAATTTTTTTTAATGTTAGTAAGATGTTTTTATAAAGTATATGTATAAGAATATAGGAAAAAAGACAAACTAATGTGAAAGTTAGCTGAGTATCAATGATAAGACTTATATCTTAGGTTTTTCAAAAATAATTTTCTTTTGGGGAGCATAAATACATAATCTGGAAAATCATGTGAACTCTCCATATAAATATACCCATATATGTATAAGATTATGATTTTAAATTATGATTTTAAAAGAACATATTCCTTTTTAAATGGTTGTGAGGTATAGATTATTAGTAGGACATAGGCTAAACATGAGTAAGGCCTTGAGTTCAATGTCTAGCACCAATAAAAATAAGTAAAAAAAATGTAGAGCAAAATAAAACAAACTGCTTTTTGGTGAGTTCTTAGTGAAGCATTCTTCCAAATATTGGCAGAGCAAGAACTGTTCATCTTTTCTTCATTGAGAGAAAACCTTTCAGATACAGTTGTCAGAAAATTGAGAGTTATCATTATAAGCTTATAATCTGCTTATAGCATTAAAAAGGTTTTTGAGGTGATACTGAGTGATTATGGAAGTTTCTAAAAGATAGAAAATTAGAGGGAAAAACCCACCAGAATCAAAGTAGGACTTCATCTTATCTTCTAAAATACCATGACTTTTTCTTACTGGTGTTCTTTTTTGTTTGCTTGTTCAAAATGAAATTTGTTATATGGGATTCTTTGAAAAGAATGTGAATTCTTATCATTTAGACTGCCTTCTTTATGGAATTAAATGTCAGTGACATCAGAACTTTGTTAACCTTAAAAATATCAGTATTTAAGCATAATTCAGCAACATAGAAGCAGTTTACCAAGCTATCATCCTTAATATTTGGCATTCACAGAATTCAGTCGTCTATTTTAACTTTCTTGATTCTTGAACACTTGAGATTGACAATGTTTCCATTAAAAATGGGAAAACTTACATAACATTATGTGTTAACTAGAGTTGAAATTGGAGTGAATTTATTCCAATCTTTATAGCCTTGCTTGAATACTATCTAGATGTTGAACTAGTTACAGAACTAAATAAGATACAGTTTCCATACTTTGTATCCCTGGACTTCCCTGCTTGATGATCTGCTTGAGATCAACTGAGTTGGGCAGCCATGTAATCAGGAACACCAACAACAACGTCTGTATCTGGACAGAGGTAGACTTCAATGTTACCCTATTGGGGAGAACTGTTTAGCACTTCTTCAGAAAGTGTAATCTCTTCCAAGTAGTATGTCTGTATATATGGCCAAACGTGACTACAATAGAGTTCCAGTGTGTGAGGGTGCCTGAGGTTTCATTGCTGATTACAACCTTTCTGCTTTTGTGTAAGCTCAAAGGTTGGGCTTGAAATCAAGCCTTAGGAAGAATTTTAAAATTAGATAATCAAGTTTCAGCCTCCAGGCAAGAGATTCCCAACCACTACAACCTTTTTTAGAGCATCTATTTCTAAGTAACTTGAAGTGATGCCCTGAAAATTGAAGTGCTCTCAGAGGCCTTTGAAATTGGAATGCCTTGGCAGTAAGGACAGTAGATTGGGGGAGTGAAGGCTAATATTATGTCCTGATAAACTTGATAAGCAGCCCATCTTGAATTTTCCAAACAGTTAACAGAGTGATAACCATTAGAACTGGCACTACATGTGGAAAAGGAAGGTGAGGCATGTGGTATGTCTGGTAGTTGGATACTTTCCCAGTGATTCAGCAGTTGCTATTCCAGTTAGAGAGCTTCCTTCAAACTTTTATTGTTTCCAGTAGCTGCTGCATCCAGCTAAAGTAAGTGAGTTGTTAGCATGCTAAACATTCTCTCCAGCATTTATATATTTATATAAGTATCAATAATATTTATATTAAATGTTAAATATTACTTATTCTAATAATATCTAATATATTATACTAATATTTAATATAAATATTATTTATACTATTAATATTATAGGAGTTTTATATACACTTATTAGTGAAGAAATAAATCTGAGATATACTGAAGTTTTTGGATTTTGGTTTTCATGGCTTCTGTGTTGGGTGATAATCTGTGGGGAAGAATTTAAGTTCTTAAAAAAGGCCTCCCTCACATTCTACATTTGAACTGAAGTCTGGATCATAAAAAGGTTGCTATCCCTGTAAAGATTCCTGAGAAGACAGAAAACATCAATGTTACTAACCTTCAGTTAGGAATGAGTTAAAGGAAGAGAGGTTGTTGGAAGGGAAATTGGAGGGATCTCAAGGATCTTAGGTCATAGAAGGCCATGGAAGTACTGGGAAGAATTTTGGGTTTTACTCTGAGCAAGCTGGGGACCATTGGAGGACTTTATACGGAAGGGTCAGGTGATCTATGACAGTTTCTGGGACAGGTACTGGTGTCTCATGCTTATAATCCTAGGTGCTCAGGAGACGGAGATCTTAGGATTGCAGTTTGAAGCCAGCCCAGGCAAAAAGTCCCTGAGACTCATCTCCAACTAACCACCTGAAAACCAGAAGCGGAGCTGTGACTCAAAGTGGAGAGCACTACTAGCCTTGAGCAAAATAGCTCATTGACAGTACCCAGGCCCTGAGTTCAAGCCCCATGACTGACAAAAAGAAAAAGAAAAAAAGAAGACAAGTACAGTAGTACATTCAGAGAGCCAGGGCAGAAGCAAGGATACCAATTCAGCAGTTACTGTCGTGGCTCAATCTAAGTAATGACAATGGCTTGGACCAGGGTGATGATGACAAGAATTAAGAACTTACTGTAATCAGAAATTTTCTGATTTCCTATTTTTTTAAATGCCATCTTTAGTATTAACAGCTTTACATTGAAATCTAAATAAAGTAACATTTTGAACTAGTGCATAGTTCTGTAATTTCTAGAGGCCATACTTTTCAAGTTAGTGATGTTTTTGACAATTAAGAAACAATTTTAAAACATATTAAGCCCACTTCATTTGCAAATCTATTTACACACGGGTCTGGTTGAGGTAAAAAATAATAAATAAAATTCAGGAAACAGAAACTATATTTTCATGTGTTTATTATGCAGTTCATTTGATACAGAGAAGCTTTTGGTCAGTCCTGTGTGTATCATCAGTTGTATGTAAATTATTATGTGATCCACTGAGTATTTCCCTGTTCTTAGTTCTATGAAAGTAGAATTATATTTGCCTTCCAGAATATAAATGATGCCCAAAAAACGAAGTAAAAGTTAAGGTGCTTCAGTGGTAAAGAGGAATTTTCTGGTTTGTTGGAAGGCAGCATGTTTTCAGCAGACATTGGGTGGTATTATGAGAAAAACAAATCAAGCATCCATAGTACAGTACTGAAATCTGAGAATGTGTGAGTTTTCTTCAACAGTAATTAATCTTCTTGGAGTCAGGTTACCTAAAGATTCCATGAATCTACTGTAATTCATTTGACTGCTTTGTGCCTATTCTTCCTAAATCTATATTATATATCAGGGTACTTGCCAAAGTTTGTTTATACTTCTTAGAATATTTATTGTTCTACTCTCCCACTACTCAGGTAAACATTTTGCTTTGTACTTTTCATCTTTTTGTTTTTATGCACTTATTTCCATATGGTTGTTATTTATCAAGGAAATGTATTTTGCAAATAGTGGTTTTGATTTTTAAAAGTTAAATTGTTTTAATAGTTAAATTGTTTGCTTCATTTACTTTTCATAAGCATTCATTAAGATGTTGGGTCAATTTTTTAATTATTTTCACAGCTATTTCTGTTCTTGGTTGAAAAGCCCTCTTCCCATGTAACTCTGCTGGGCTTTGATTGTACGTTTTATTCAGTTAAATTTGTTATAACCCTTAAAATGATAATCAAGCAAAAGTCAGAAATTAGTTTAAGTCTATTCTCCCTCTCTCTCTCTCTCTCTCCATATATATATATATATATATATATATATATATATATATATATATATATATATGGTGATAGTGGAACTAGGGATTGAACTTAAGTCCTCAAGTTTTCTAGATAGATGATCTACTTCTTGAGGTAGAATTTCACTTTATGCCTAGGCTGGCCTGGGCTGTGATTTTCCTAGTGTTCTGGGAATAACAGATGAGCTGCTGCACCCAGCCATTGGTTGAAATGGATTCTTGTGAACTTTTATACCCAGACTGACCTTGAACTACAATCCCTCAATCTTTTCCTCCCAAGTAGCTAGAAATACAGGCTTGAGCCATTGTGCCAGGCTGAGAACTGTATCTTTTTCTTTTCCTGTATGGCCTTGTTTTTTTTCTCAGAGCCATAATTCAGTAAATTTTGCAAGATCCGCCGTGATAATTTTCAGGTAATATAAATTAAATGCCAGTGTGCTAATTAACTCTTCGATTCTTTCTAGAATTGAAAATAATTCTTTTTAGATTATAGAAATATGTTTTAAATATTAGGAATATTATAAATACCTTCTAAACATTTTTGAAACTAATTAGATCTTAGCTATAAAAGTATATTCAGGAAAATAGAATTTATGTTTGTAATGTATTTGTTCTGAATGCAGGCCAAAATGTACTGATGGTTATTGGTGATTGTTTTGCAGACTTCAAAGGAAGATCTTCTGCAGGCTGATTTTGAAGGTGCTTTGAAGTTTTTCAGAGTTCAACTTCCAAAGAGGTACAGGGCAGAGGAGAATGCCAGGAGATTGATGGAGCAGGCTTGCAATATTAAAGTAAGATCTTGAACTTATTTATGTATGTTAAAGGTCTAGCTTTAATACAGAATAACATAGGAGTGTTTAACTCCTATCTAACTGTGTTTAAGGTGAAGTATATGAAGTAATCTTGCCCTGACTTTTTCCTCATTCAAAGATGTAGAGCCTGCTATACCTTCTAGTACAATTTAGGGTGAAAGGTGGCAGGTCCCAATTGTAATAATCGGGTGACAAACATTTATCTTCTAGATGGGGGCTCCAGAATGGGCTGCTATAATAGTTGTTTCCATGACAGCAGACTTGGTATTTTGCTTTGCCATCTGTTTAAAGATTATTTAGGACAGAGCAAGAAAAGCCTGTTTAGCCAATGCAATGTTTTCCTTTATCTAAGGGATATGAAAAAGTTTGAGTCTTGTTCTGTCTATTTCCTTCCCACATGTGCCAAATGTCTTCATATATACTGGCACATATCATATATATGACTTAAAAATACTTTAACTGAATTTAAATTGAAAATATGAAGTTTTGGTATTAGGTTAGAAAGCATACTTTTAAAATATTTGAAACTAATTTACTGATAATAGTTCTTGTATGTCTGGAATATATTAGGAGTTCTTCTTACCCATGGCATAAATCTAAATTTGTCTCCTAAACAGACCCACAAGTACATTTTTGCAGAAGAAGAGAGACAATAAACAACATAATAAGTAATTTAATATCTTAGAAGGTGATAAATAGTTGTGGGAAATAAAATGTATAGAAAAACAATAGTAAATAAATTTTGGGGGGGGAGAAAGGTTATGAGTGTTATTAGTTAGGTAGCCCTTACTCAGAAAATGAGTGCTAAAGGTATTTTTTTTAAAGAAAAGAAGAAATGAATGAGACACAGGATTACTCATAGAGATGACTGGAAAAAAACCTTCCAAGCAAAGGCAACTGCTTGAACAAAATGGAAACTGCCAAAGGCTCTGAGACCAGTTCAGGTTTGGTAGGTTAAGGAACAGTGTGCCTGAATTTAAAGAAATAAGAATAGTAAGAATAGATGTTAGAATGCTCACTAAAAGCATTGAAGATAGGAACCCTTGAAAGATTTTGAGTGGAAGAGTCTAGATTTTTAGATGATGATGATGTTGTTTAGATAAGAATGAGTAAGACAATTAGGGAGATCAATAGGTGACTATGCAGCACTCCCTTTCACAGATGATGACAGATTAACCCAGTTTGGCAGTAATCATGATGGGATGGAGATGCAGATGGTTGGAACCTGGGTATATCTTGAAGATTTCATCATGTGTTACAAGTAATGTCACATGCAAATTTGAACATTTTTCAAATTACATTTGAACTTTTTTTATTTTGTCGGTCCTGGGGCTTGAACTCTGGGCCTGGGAGCTGTCCCTCAGCTCTTCAGCTCAAGGCGAGCACTCTACCACTTGAGCTACAGCGCCACTTCCGGTTTTCTGGTGGTTTATTGGAGATAGGAGTCTCACGGTCTCTCCTGCCCAGGCTGGCTTTGAACCGTGATCCTCAGATCTCAGCCTCCTGAGTAGCTAGGATTACAGGCATGAGCCACCAGCGCCCGGCTACATTTGAACTTTTTAAAAATAATTTTCATCAGATTTCCTTTTGTCTATGTGTTCAGTATTTCTTCATATTAGGTTGAATTGGTGGAATTGTAATTCTTACTGTTCAAGAACATCAGATATTAGATATATTAGAAATCATGTATGATTTTGCTCAATATGCTTTTTTAAATTTATTTTTATTTATTTATTTATTGTCAATTGTAGGGCCTGAACTCTGGGCCTGAGCACTATCCCTGAGCTCTTCAGCTCAAGCTAGCGCTCTACCACTTGAGCCACAGCGCTACTTCTGGCTTTTTCTGCTTATGTGTTGCTGAGGAATCGAACCCAGGGCCTCATGCATGCAAGGCAAGCACTCTACCACTGAGCCACCTTCCCAGCCCAATATTCTTCTTTATAATTAAAATAGGTGTCATATCTGTGAATGATAAAAACATAGATTGACCTGGTATTACTAAAATAATTTGAGCAAAATTAGAACTACCTAGTCTATCATTAATTTCAAAGAAAACTTCAAAAAAGAAAAGCATTTACTGAGGAACTCTGTAAGAGGAGGAAAAGACTAGGATGAAACCAGAAGACTTTTTATTCATATTGTATCTAGGCATGGGAAAGGATGCTCCATGCAGAAGATAAGCATAGATGAGAAAAACATGGAATGTTCAAGACCTAAATATAGTCATGATTGATATTAAGGTGTAAGGAGAAAGAGGCAGCAATCTGGATTTGGAATTGGAGATGAAAATGATCAGATTTGTATTTTTTGAAAAAATGATTCTGGCTGCTGTGTGGAAAATGGATTGAAAGTATAAAATGAGATGTTGGTGACATACTAAATATGCTTCATTATCTAGGTGTAACTACAGGCTTGTGTGTGTAAGAGAGAGAGAGAGAGAAAGAGAAAGAAAGAGAGATACAAGATATTCAAGAGTCATAATCAAGAGATCTTAGTAATTAAATATGAGTATTAGGGCAGAGGAAGCAATCCAGTAATGACACTCAACAGTGTTCCTTAGGCAACTTGACAGTAATCACACTGAGAAAGGAATCAAACAAAAACAAATTGCATGAATAGGACTTAATGAGTTCAGTTTTGAGTATGTTAAGTTTGTGGTTCATGTTCACAAACTCATACCCAAGTAAATATCAATATCCAACAGATAAGTGGATATGAAGTAAGAACTGAGCCAAAAGTGAGGGCATTTTGATAAAGGAGTGTGCAGAGTGAACAGAGAAAAGGGCTGAGAATAGATATATTCACAGATTTTTTAAAAGGGCTGAGTAATAGAAGTTGGCAAGACTAAGAAGATGGGAAGGAATGTATCATGTCAGTGATTCCTAGAAGTCATGTAAGGTACTCAAAAAGTTCTGATAGTCTTTAGGGGGAGCTGGTTCAGTGGAGTGGTGCTGTATAAGAGTAAACATGAGATAATTAAGTGGAGAAATGAGATGAAGCAATTGTTTGAAAAGATTATAAGGAAAGGATGAGAAATGGAAGAGATAGCCAACAAGCCAGAGAGTGAGTATGGGCAAGGAGAAGACATGAGGCTAAAATGGATGGAATGGGAAATAGGAAAGATGAATCTTTAACTGCCAAAGAAAAACAAAACGTAATGAATTCTAATGTCTCAACAAGTATCTGCTATATGCCAGGTACTGTATGAAATTCAGAGACTGAGATGGTGAAAAAAACAGATATGCTCTCTGAATTTATGGGTTTACAGTACTGTGGGGAAGATATTAATTACATACTCATATTTATAAACAAATTTACAAAATGAGGTAAATACTTAGAAGAGATATAATAAGGATATATAAGTTTAATTGGGGTTAATGAAGTACGGTGAGGCCAGGGCTGTGGTACATCATTAGACTGTGGGAGACAAAAGAAAGGAAAGGAGATATTCTTGATTTGCTTGATTTTTGAGAAATTTTCTTTTGCCAATTTCTGTGGTATAAATACTCCCTCTCTAGATGGTTTTAAGCTATCAGTGACCTAGCATCTGCATCAAATAATTTCTGAATATTAACAGCCATTACTCCAGAGTTAGTAGCTGCTGACTTTAGCATACCTCAGGATCACGAGGCTAGTTGGGCAAGAGTGGTTGTCAGAGTGGATAATGGATTTTAGTAGAAAAGAAAGTAGAGACAGATGGGGGTGAAGACACTGCAAGAGGGGGAAGGAAATAAAGAACTGTTATGCTCTATAGATAGGAAGAACGGTGATTTGTTTGTAGTTACCCAAGGAGGAAAAGTATTTGCTTCGGAAAATTCTAAGCTCTTATGTAATTATAACTCCTTTGTGCAGCTACTTAATGATGATGGTGATGATGATGATTCTAAGCTATATTCCAGCTCATTTACTTATATATGGTATTGGACAATTTCCATCCTCTCAGAATGGATGAATACAATTTGATTCTACCCTTCACAAATCATGGTTTTAATGAAATAACAGTGAATTTCTCTTTTCTTTTCTTTCTTTCTTTCTTTCTTTCTTTCTTTTTTCTTTCTTTCTTTCTTTTTTCTTTCTTTCTTTCTTTCTTTCTTTCTTTCTTTCTTTCTTTCTTTCTTTCTTTCTTTCTTTCTTTCTTTCTTTCTTTCTTTCTTTCTT